GTACGTCCTGTCGAACGACTACGGCTGGCAGGGCGAGGGCTACGGTCCGGCCCGCACCCCTATCCCTCCCACTGGCGCCCTCTGTCCACGCCCTCTCCGCCACCGGCTGACCGGCACTCAGCACTCTGCCCCCGCCGCAGACGCGTGCCGCGCAGAGGAGACGACCGCGTCGACTAACATGGAGTGGTGCGTCCGCGACGCGTCAGCAATCGAGGTGGTTCGAATATCGTACGTGTGAAGTGAGCGACTCGATCGAGCCCTCGGGGCGTTGTGTGCAGAGAGGTGGCCCGTGGCCACCAGACCCCAGTTGCCAGTGATCGTGTAGAGCGCCGCTCGATCCACGATCGCACTCTGCTCGCTCCCTTGGTTTGATTTTTTCTGTCTTGACATATCATAATAGCACGCCACTCACCACGCCACCGTCCACAGCACCGGGTACACACACCTCGGACAGAGGAGCCCCCGGGAGTTCTCAGATCTCACTGACACGACCCCCAACGCGCCCAAGCACGGCTGCACCCTGCACGGGGCAGCGGGCGCGCTGCCACCACCACACCTCGCAGCAGTGGAGCACACTTTCCGAAGGCCACGATGTCGGGCTCTGCGCTTCATTGCGCACGCCACTCGAAGAGCACCTCACTTGTACGAGCGCTCGCCGGCGGAGTTCTGGTAGTACGAGTAGCCGCCGCCGCTCTTGCCGCCGTTCTGCGTGTAGAAGCCGCTCGTGTTGCCCGAGGGCGAGTAGTAGTGCGAGCCCTGCGAGTTGTTGGAGGAGGAGGGCGCGTTGTTGTACGAGTAGCCGCCATTGTTGTAGGTGGTGTACTGCGGCGGACAAGGATGAAAACGGTGAGAGGTCACAACGTGCAAGTCAAAGCATCGCAAGGGTGGCGCACCGAGTTGCCCTGCGAGTTGGTGCCCGAGTAGGTCGGCTGTGGCATGGTGGCTCTTTATCTGCGAGCGGCGGTCGTCAGTGAGGAGTTGCGGAGGAGGCTAGGGGATCCGGGGGCAGCAATCGGCCTGATTTCGCGCTCAAAAAGGTGAAACGATTTGAGACCTCGAGAGCAAAAAAGAAAACGTTGTCCCGCGTTGGCCTGCCCGCCGGTTGCGCTCGCCGCACGCGGAGGGTCGAGACAGAGGAGCAAAAAGCGCTCCCATCCTTGTGGACCTCTGTGGACTCTCATTTTTTGGATCTTTTTAATTTTTAAGTGTGCTTCCCTTGGACCACTCCTGGGATACTGTATCTAGATACCAGGCCGGTACCCAAAAGGCACCGATCCTGCCGATCCCCCAAAACGGATGAGGTTAGGGGATAGCCGGGCGGCGGCAATCGGCCTGATTTCGCGCTCAAAATAGCGTTTGAGACCTCGAGAGCAAAAAAGCAAACGGGGCGTGGTGTCCTGTGCATGGCCAAGTCGAAGGGTGTGTCGAAGCGGAACCTGGAGACTGCCATCGAGGGGTTCACAAAGACGGCCTGGGCGCCGCGTGTCGCCGCGCGTCGGCCGCCTCGATGCCTACCCAGAGGCCAGAGCCGGCCACATGCGGACGAGCGCATGGCGGAGGGCGCCATCGACGGGGACGCGGAGAGCTACGAGGTCGCCGGGCCGTACGCCAACGCGCTTCGTCTTCTCTCGCTTCGACGCACCGAGGCTGGGGCCGCCCCTGGCGGCGCCCCCGGCGCAAGGACCAAGGTCCAAGGAACGCTGACGGCGACGGAAGCGCCGGTTGCGCTCGCCGCACGCGCGGAGGATCAGTCTGTCTGTATGTATGTAGGAAGGTGAAGAACAGTCAGGACTGGACACCAACGCAGTCTGTCAGACAGACAGTGGAGACAGAGGAGCCAGAAGCCCTTGAGCGCTCCCCTCTTGAGGATAACTGGATCATCTAGACGGCGGGCGCTTCTTTCTCGCCGGCCGGGGGCCGGCCCGTATGCCGGCCGCCGGGGTTCACGACCCACCCCTCGCTCGTTAACGAGTGCGTCCGCGACGCCACCTTGATGGTCTACTACTGCAGCGACTGTGGTTGCGACCGCGCTCGGCGGGACTTCTTTCTCCGACACAGCTGAATGAAGAAGGCCCGAGTACCCGCGCTGCTACGATGGCTACGCCTAGCACAATTTATTAGAAGTCGGGGCTTCCACTTCCGCCCGAGAAAAATCCTCGTGTCTCTCAGCCCACTTGGCCATAGCCGCCGAGACGGCGCGCTCTGCTGACTCTCATCTACTCGATAGCTACTCGAGTAGCACCCTCCCTCTTTCTTGGGTGGGTGGGGCCTCTCTCTCCTGACCGCTGTGTGCCTCTCCAGACAGAGACCTCCTCTTGCCTTTCTATGGGAGTACTCCTCCTAGTCTACTTCCTAGGACACAGGTACGTTTGCAGCACAGCTTTTTCTCAAGAGCTATAGTGCACTGGAAAGGCACACAGGCACGATCGCGGCACCACCATCCCAAAAACGGCGTGCTACAATGCTATCCTGCATCTTCGTGGCCCTCTCCGCCGCATCGTCGGTGCCTTCTGTTGGGCAGATCCGACAGGTCTCCTTCAACGATCCCCGCGACGGCGACACGGACTCGCGCGATGTCACAATCACCGACGACGGCAATTGCTTCGTCTACACCTCCGAGAACATCTTCGCCACTCCGCTTCTTTTCTCCGACTGGCGGACGTGGAAGACGTGCGGCGTCTTCGATGGGCAGAACCTGACCAACACGCTCGTCTCGGACCCCGTGCAGGAGGGTGGGACCGACTACTCCTTTCCGCAAGCTTCGAATGATGCGAGCGTCATCTGCCTGTACCGATCGCGGCCGAGCCCCAATGTGCCGAGGAAGGACATCATCATGGGCGCCGACGGCATCTACACGCCACTCACGAGCGTCGACACTGATCGGGGCTGCGACGTCTCGTACGACGGCTCCACCGTTGTGTATGCGGAAGAGGACAGCGACGGAGTGCTGCAGGCCTGACCACACGAGGCCCTCCCCCCTCACCCCTCACCCCTCATCCCCTCACCACCCCGCCCCCGCCTCGCTCCCCTCTGCAGACCTACCTGTACGACCGCCAAAGCAGCACCAAGACCAAGATCTCCGACGCCGCGACCAAGAGAGCCAAGTGGCCGCGCACCTCAACGGGTGGCTCGCGGACGGTCTTTGTCTCGCAGAAGGCTGTGACCGACCCGACTCTGACCTCGTCCTCCAGCGGCCTCAAGTACGACGAGGCGTGGATCTACCAGCGCGGCACCGGCGAGCCGGAACAGATCGCAAACCTCGCCGGCCAGCAGTGCAATCGGACGTATATGTACGAGCTCATGGTGAAAGACTACGGGCTCGCGGCAGTCGCCGCAGAGTTCTCCAGCCCGAGCAAGCTCGGGAATGGGGGCACACCGTGCGCGCCGCCGCCTCGCCCTGCCTGGCCCGCGCTCTCACCTCGAAATGCCCCGGCCTCG